ACACACACACACACACACACACACACACACACACACACACACACACACAGGAGCTATCTTTAAAGACACCAGATACCTACTCTGAGACTAGAACTCTACAGAAGGAAGAAAAGTATATTAACAATTTTGAAGCATTTCCAGTCAGAATTTTACAATAAAACAAAACATGACTTTGGAGCACCTACAGAGATCAGCAATAATGAACGTTAAAATAACAGCCAGTAAATTACGACCACCTGAGGCCTTCTTGTTATTAGGCAGCAGTTTCAGCCATTGCTCCATTTTGCAGTCCACAAAAACATCCGTTACTTCATTCACATTTATTTCTGATGGACACAGAAGGAAGATGTAAATTAAATACAGACCCCTTGCCCAGTGACTGATGAGACATAGGCATCAGTTTCACACAACGCAATGTGGAAAAGCAGGTAAAATAACAAATGATGAGAAGAAAAGGAAAAAAAAAGAACCTAATTAGTGGCTGACATTTTGTCCCTGACAACTATGTTAACAAAGGTCATCATCTTTGAAAAAAAAAGGATTTTCCAAAGCTCTTCATTTGGAACATTTCTCTACAACAACAAAAATAAGGAAAATGCTTTTAAAACAGTGAATCTTAGAGTTAATTTGTCATAAGGTAAAGTGAGGTTGTTTTTTTTTTTGCATTTCAGGTGAATTCATCTATGTAACAAGTCCACCTGCAAAAAATGCTAAATTCATATAAAAAAATAAAATTTTGTGAATAAAACTATAAAATCTAAAGTTTAAAGGAAAATCAAGATATATGAAATCCGCCTTGAATGAAAAACAAGAGTTTAACTCTGATCAGAGGAAGTTAATGTACCTCTCTCTCATCTTGGTGCAGCCACTGTTTGGGGTTGTCCTCTGTGGCCAGAAAGGCAATGAGGTCCAGCGCAGTCAGACGGGTTTGTCTTCGTGAGGAGACAAAAATCAGCACCGGTTTGGCTGGTGAGTGGCTTCGTATTGCTGCAAAGAGTCAAACAATGGCTTTGTAAACATTTTGGGTGATTGTCTTATATCCCAGCAGAACTGTTATTACGGTAGTAAAGGAGAAAAATATGAAGTTTTATAAAAAACAATTTTAGCTTTTATGTCTAATTATGTCTGCTTTTTTAGATTAACAATTATTTAAGCTGGACAATTATTGGATAAAATAAAAAAAAAGTTGGAATGAATCTAATCTAAATTCATGTGACACACAGAGGAGAACATATGCCAACATAAAGAAGGATGTGGTTGAGCAGCTGGACCTTGGAAGGTAGGTTTGTTCATGCTGGCCATGCGGGGACAGTAGTGTTGTCCTGGGAAACCATGGATGTGGACTTCGAGTGGGACAGGGCGCACAGATGGACGGAAGTTAAACAAGCCCACCTGTTAGACAAAGGAGAGCAGAGGGAGGCGGGGGGTGGAGCCAAAAAAAAAATCAAAAGACTAAAGAAAGATTTGATGTGAATAGCTGGCAACTCGAAACTCCATCTGGCTGCTGTGTTGAGCTTGCTGCAGCGTATTTCAGAGTGTGTGTCGTTATCTACATGTCTGAAAGCATTTACACATGGACTAGGCAACTAGCAGGCACAGCAGCCAAGCAGCCAGATTTATGGATGGCAGACATCCAACCTGATTTACAAACACCGTGACTCTGTGGCTCCAAAAGCAGATCAAACGCCAAGCTACAGTTGTGAAAAAACACATCTATGATATAATTAACCCTACAAATATTACAAGGAACTTATAGTAGTTAATCAGCAAAATTAACTAAAAGATAAAAAAAAATCACAAGATATTTTTAATTTATGAAAGGCTTAGCATTCCTTCAAGGAATGCATTTTTTGATGAGACGGAACTGAGTTATAACAGTTTTGGTCAAACCCTATGATAGATACAGTGGTTTGCAAAAGTATTCATACCCCTTGAACTTTTCCATATTTTGTCACATTACAACCACAAACATAAATATATTTCACTGGAATTTAATGTGAAAGACCAACACAAAGTGGTATACAATTGTGAAGCAGCTAATTGTTTTATTATGTTAGCTAGCCTGTTGATACCTTTACCTTTTAACTGGCCTTTAGATATATTTAGCTTTTAGTTAGTC